ACAGATTGGCCCTTTTAGAAGAGTATTTGGGTAATTTGGGTTGGTTTCAGTTTGCTGGTATCTGTTGACTTCTATTTTATCAATCAACAAAGACCAAAGTTTAAGCTAAACATCTTTTTAAAACTCGTTGTTTCTACAAAAGGAAGCAAAATTTAGGTTTGGTTTGCTGGTCTCTGTTGACTTCCATTTTATCAAACAACAGAGACTCAAGTTTGAACTAACCCTTTTTTTAAACTCTTTGGTTTAAGAAAAGGAAGCAAAATTTGGTTTGATTTTAGTTTGCTGGTATCTGTTGACTTCCATTTTATCAATCAAAAAGGACTAAAGTTTGAGCCAATCTTCTTTTTAAAGCTCTTCGTTTCTACAAAAGGAAGCAAATATTGGTTTGGGTTTGCTGGTATCTGTTGACTTCCATTTTATCAATCAACAAAGCCTAAAGTTTGAGCCAAACCTCATTTTAAAACTCTTCGTTTCTACAAAAGGAAGCAAAATATGGTTTGATTTTAGTTTGCTGGTATCTGTTGACTTCCATTTTATCAATCAAAAAGGACTAAAGTTTGAGCCAATCCTCTTTTTAAAGCTCTTCGCTTCTACAAAAGGAATCAAATTTTGGTTTTGGTTTGCTGGTATCTGTTGACTTCCATTTTATCAATCAACAAAGCCTAAAGTTTGAGCCAGTCCTCTTTTTAGAATTCTTTATTTCTACAAATGCAAGCAAAACGATTCACCAACAGCACATCCTGGGTGATCATAGTAAATTAGTCTGTTTATTATTTTTATTGTCATCCCTTTTCTCATAGCCAGTCAACACAACCAAGTCAAAAAGTGTAACTACTAAACAAAGTGGCGTTTTTGCAGAAAATCAATATTACCACTGCCAAACATTATTTGCTGATATGCGTCTTCTAATCCAGGGGATCAGTCAATGTCAGGTCATGTATGTAGAGTAGATAATAAGCAACCTCAACCTTAGTTTCAGACATCCAGTCGAGTCGTTTCGAGAAGGGGGGTACGAGTGGAGCATGAACTGGCAGATGGCAGCCCCTCTTGACTGCTTTAAGACGGTTAAGCCTATTGTGTTTAACTGTTAGCAACATTTAAGAAATGTTTTTTAGTAAAGTATTAACTCTGTTAGAGCTAGAAAATGTACGAATTCAGTTAACAATAACAGCATAAGACAAGACATAGCAAAGAGAACACGATATAAACGTATTAGGCTGATGATAACCAAATAAAAATGCTACAAAAACAGTTTACGTAAAGTAACGTTATTACATGTGTGACGGAAAAAATGGCTTCGAGACGCACATCAACTTATATTTATTGTGAAGGTTTAACGTTGAATATAAGCAATAAACAACGTTAACATTTATTTTACAAATGCATTCGTTTAGAATACAAATCTTATATTGTACAGTTTATATCTTATAATAATATGTTGCTCCATTAACTGGAGATATTTAGTTATGATAAGTCTAACTTTAAATATCACTGTTGTTTGATTTTTTAAATCTGATTTTGAAACTAACGACCGTTTTTTCTTTAACGAAAAGCCATAATTTCGAAAAAATTCGACTTCGGACAATTTGGTTGAGGATTAAACTTTTGCCGAAATGGTAAACTTATAAAACTTCGACACTAAACAAACCAATAATATGAACGAAATCGATATAAAGTATTATAATAAAAACTTTTGAGGGGCGGTAGCGCGCGAGCTAACGTTAGTTCGCAATCCTCTGGGAATAAAGGCAAATTAAAACTTACCTGTGAGAAGAATAACATAGGTTACGCAGAGAAAAGACGTCCTCATATCCATTCCTCTGCTTTAAAGCCACAATTTGCTACCCGGTGCGAGTGAAAAAACAACTTTTCCTCGAGACTTGTGCTGTTTCGCGTTCACTCTTCTTTCTCGCGCAGCATCAGAAAGTCCAGCCGCAGCTCGCGCAGGTGGATTGTGTGGCTGGCTGGAATCTGCACACGTGATTTCCGGAGGTATCAGTCGGAAACATTTTGAGGAGTTTCAACGCCCTCTTGCGTACGTGGACAACAACATATATCAATACATGTTGAATACGTATTGCTCTGAAAACATTTAATTTCGTGTAAATGTGTATTTTGTATTTTATTTTTCTCTTTCGGAAAACTATGTGAAATGTAATACCTCTTGTTCTTGTGGCACTGAATTCATTTATGAATGGATCATTAAAAGCACTAAACACTTTTCAAAAACGCATCTTAACATGTTTCTTGAGCTTTTCACCACCAATTATTCCAGCATTCATCTTTAAACAGTCTCTTAAGAATCTCATATATCCACTGTGTCTTTGCGGTGATTCTGGAGCCACTCATTTGATCAATTTCTTCTAAATCCTTCATTTTCATTATATACCCAGATCTGGCACAGTCCCAGTTTAGCGTTTAATAGTGGCATGAATCAGGTATTTTACTAATGCATCCATATATTCACTTTAAGGATTTGAAGATTTTTAGGCCAGACATTACTCAGAGTTATAGAATTTATCTAAATGTGCAATAGCTCATTAAGGACTTTTGTAAATTTTATTTATTCAACTTAACTGGAGGTCCCTGGGTAAAGTTGTGTTTGTTAATTTTTCTAATGAAACATAAATAGTGATGAAAGAGATCATAATAAATGGCTTGCATGTATATTTATTGCGTAATTCATGAAAAAGACAATTTTCTAAATTTGTTCGGGTGCGCAGAGACTGGTAGATTGGTTTGTAACCAAAATCTGCTGAATATAGCCATCTCTCTTTCTTTAACCCTTAATCAGGCCACGGGGTCAGGGTGCCGATAAATGTTCCCTATTTTTATATACAGTTGAAATTAGAATTATTAAACCCTCTTTGATTTTTTTATTTCTTTTTTAAAATATTCCCAAATGATGTTAACCAGAGCAAGGAAATGTTCATAGTATCTGATAATATTTTTTTTCTTCTGGAGAAAGTCTTATTTGCTTTATTTCAGCTAGAATAAAAGCAGTTTTGATTTTTTTATTTATAAAACATTTTTAAGGTCAATATTATTAGCAATGTGTTGGAAAACATCTTTGTACCGTTAAACAGAAAATGGGGGAAAAAAAATAAACAAACCTGGTCGAATAATTTAACCGGTTTAATAATTCTGATTTCAACTGTTCCCTTCATCTCAGTGGTATGAGACTCTCCAACATTAGCATCTATATTAAACGGACACAAAACTGGACTTGATTCAGTTGTTTTGTCTTTCACTACCTCACCAAAAAAAAAAAAAAAAAAAAAACGATGTGGCTAGTAAACACACTCAAAAATGTGTTAAAAACACAAGTGTAGTGCAACAGGTTTATGTTTGTTTGATTTTTTTGTAAACCAACAATGATTTATTGATTGGACAGCGGAGATGCACAGACAGGAAAGTGTGTGGAGCAGAGATAGGGGAAGGATCGGCAAAAGACCTTGAGCCAGGAATCGAACTCTGGTCGCCACACTAACCACTAGGCTATTGGCGCAGACATATATTTACTTTTTATAGAAAATGGCAATAACAAAATCTACAAAAAACACAATAAATCTATAAAATGTTTAGAAATAAACAAACGAATGATACTAAAGCACAACATCAACGTAGACTGTGTGTCACTCAAATATATTAATAAAGTTTTCTAAAGCCTCAAGAAATATAACCTGAAAACAAATGGACGTCTAATGACCCCTGCTGGATAAGTGTGGAAATTGCAATTTTTTCTGGAAGGTCAGATGGTTGTATTGGGTTCCTAATATAAAAAAACAATATCCAGAAACCTTTTATAATAAATTTAGGTCAGAATTTTGATGATTTTTTAAAATAAAAATAAAAATTTTCATATGCCAAATGATGGCGTAGTTGCATGTTTGAGAAGTAAATGAATAACTAAAGAACAAATATCCACACAAACACTGCATAAATGCAAAGTTAAAAAGTGACTGTATAAGTAATAGTTTATAATTTAAAATTTATATTTCCCTATAAAATTTGTAGGGCAACATGATGGCACGTGGGTAGCGCTCTCACCTCACAGCAAGAAGTTTGCTGGTTTGAGCCTCGGCTGGGTCAGTTGGCATTTCTGTGTGGAGTTTGCATGTTCTCCCCGTGTTCGCTTGGATTTCCTTCAGGTGCTCTAGTTTCCCCCACAAATCCAAAAACATGCGGTACAGGTGAATTGGTACGATAAATTTAGTTTACAGGTGAATTGGGTAAACTAAATTGTCAGTAGTGTACGAGTGTGAATGGAAGTGTATGGGTGTTTACCAGTCATGGGTTGCAGCTGGAAAGGCATCCATTGTCTAGAACACAGGTGTCAAACTCAGTTCCAAAAGGGACGCAGCTGTGCACAGTTTAGTTCCAACCCTAATTAAACACACATGATCAAACTAATTGAGTCCTTCAGGCTTGTTTGAAACCTACAGGTAAGCGTGTTGGAGCAGGGTTGGAACTAAAATGTGCAGGGCTTCGGCCCTCCAGAAATTGAGTTTGACACCCCTGGTCTAGAACATATGCTGGATGAGTTGGCGGTTCATTCAGCTGTGGCGACCCCAGATTAAAAAAGGGACTAGGCCGAAAAGAAAATGAATAAATTTGTCTAAATGTTTAGTGTCAGGACGCCAAAGAACCCAACTGATTTTTTTCTGGACCCTTCTAAGGTTAAATACCAGTAAGGAGGACAATTGTGTTATTTTACTGAAGCTTTCAAGTCAATAACTCCGTATTTTAACAGAATATTTTACATTGTTTCCTTAAGTATTCAACATTTTAATTCCCCATCTAGTTAAATGTTTTACAGAAATACGGATTTCAATGTCCCGCTGTGAGGACATCTGCTACATTTTACACAATTTCAGTGCTTAATATAGGTCATTTCGCATACATAAATTTAATTCAAAATATTCTTGGGAATAAACCAGCAGCTAATAATTCTGCCTAAAATTTATAGCATAGAAAAATAAGAGGAAAAGGCTAGTAGTTTTTGGTAGTTTTTTATTGCAAACTAGACCAAAGAAATTTACATATGAACAGTTTTTGTTTTTATAAAGGAAGTATATAAAGCTTTTGCTACTTTAGCAGGGTTAGGGACTCAAAAACAGATATAGAAGCCAGTGTGAACCACTGACAGATCCTAGATTTTGAGTCTCTGGCTGCTGAATGTTTTGTTAGAACAGTTCAAAGCCTTGAGTTCTTTAAAATAGTGAAGAAACACCAAAAGAAGGCAGCATGTGTGATCTAGTTTATCTGGTTTACCTGAAAGTTAAACTCTTGACAATCTGAACCCATCAGAAGAGTTAGTAGAGTTTAAGAATGAAGCACAACTATTTCTCCCAGCATGACCTTAAGTACAAAGCAGCATCAATGTAAAGCTTTCAAACAATTAAATACCTCCAAGAGTTTTCGAATACAGCCTGTTTGGTCATAATGGACTATCATCTCCCTGCCAGTATACCATCGTACGTGCTTAAAGTTTGGCTGCATCTAGCTTCTGAGAAATACAATAGCAATTAATATTTATTAGTTTTGATCAGGATGCTTACTAAATGTCTAACAAAAAAAAAAGAAGAAAATAAGAGTGAGAACTATAGTGTTGGATAAGTTAAAAGCAATTCTGGCTCTTTTTCCGCAGCTAATGCATACTGTTTTATTATATCATAAATTCTGTTGATATATTTTCATATTTCTAAATTACCCCTTCCACCCATATCATAACCTCTACACAGTTTGGCTCAATAATAACATTTATTTTCCCAAATGGTTTACTGTTCTCGTTTTGAAGGTGGCACAAGGTGATCTGGAAGATCAGCTGGCAACTCGTGACCTTCCAGTTTAACCTTGATGAGGTGGTTGGCCAGGGCGAACTCCTCGTCATCCAGGTATCCATCCTTATCCACGTCAGCGAGCTTCCAGATCTTTCCTAGAACATTATTGGGCAGCTTGGACTTAACCATCTCCTTCTTGGCCATGGCACCAGACACCTTCCCATTGACGGGTGACAAAGTGTAGAAGATCTCGTCGTATGTCGGTTTGTCTTTGGCCACTACCCACTCCAGCTCATCAATGCCTTCACCGGCACCTTCTCCGTAGCCGTGCCCGAAGGGGCCATTCATGGTGCCTTCAAAGGCTCCACCTTGGACAGCCTGGCTTGGCATGGAGGCCTCCTCCTGCCGGACGAGGGTCATGAGTTTGGCAATGTCGTTGGCCAGCATGTCTTCCACTGATTCCAAAAGCTTGGGCTTCAATCCTTGAAACTTAGTGAAGTCCTGTCCAGCGAGGACTTCCTAAAAATGAAAACAGTGATGTCTCACAAAGAAGCATGTTTCTTCAAGTCAAATTTAAGACTTTTTAAGATCGTTTCAAGACCAATACGATTAAAATTTTAGACTTATACAGGGCTAAACACTAAGAATTTTTCTAATGGCCCAGTTACTTCTGTAATTAGTCTTTATATTAAAGGACGATCAGGTAGAGGAAGGTGTTGCTTTAGTTTTCTTTGCCTGATTAGGGAATTTATTTAGAGAATTTGCTGTAAAATATCTAACAGCTGATGTGAATTGTATATTTTTGCAATAAAAAATAAATCTAAACGAAAAAAGTTTAAAGATTGATTATTGGTGATTGGGTGTCAGTACAGTTGGGTAGCTTTCCATGGACATAGGAAAACTAAGGCAGTGAATTTAAGACTTTTTAGGGCTTAACATTCTTTTTTAAATTTAAGACATTTAAGACTTGTTAAGATCATGCAGACCGCTTGTGGAATGATTTTTGGAAACTTACCTGCATTTTACTGAGTTTAGGAAAATCACCAGGGGAGATCTGATGTTCTTTTTCAATCTTTGCATAGATTTCACCCAGGTTAGCAATGAGCTCCTTTTTCTTGTTCTCTTTTCCAAACACATTTGGCATTTCTTTCTTCAAAGAGCTGATGATGTATGCTTGAACCTAGAATGAGACAAAAAGATTGTCATAACATAATACTTAATGTAAGCAATCTGGACATGCATACATTTATATAAAGAGTACCATACAAAAACATGTTACAAGATGTTTTTAGAAGTCTGTCATCTTGTCATGGCTGCAAAAATGTATCTTATTATTATTGTTATTATTATTATATGACTCTATATTATATGATTATTATCTCTGCAACTCTCGAATGGTCACCCAATGAAGCCAAGTGGGGCTGTGCCAGGTCAGCACCTGGATGAGAGACCACATGGGAAAGCTAGGTTGCTGCCAAAAATGGTGCTAGTGAGACCAGCAAAAGGTGCTCAACCTGCAGTCTTGTGCGAGTCCTAATGCCCCAGTATATTGATAGGGACTCCATACTGCTCAGTGAGCGACATCTTTCAGATATGACAATAGAGGTCTATTGTCTTTAAAAATCCCAGGATATCCTTCAAAAAAAAAGTAGGGGTTTAACCCAGGTGTCTTGGCCAAAATTTGTTCACTGGCCTTTGTCCATCATGATCTCCTAATCATCCTCATATCATAATTGGCTTTATTACTGTCTCCTCTCCACCAATCAGCTGGTGTGTGGTGCACAGTCTGGCGCAATATGGCTGCAGTCACGTCATCCAGGTGGATGCTGCACACTGGTGGTGGATGACGAGATCCCCCCCCAAAAAATGTGTAAAGCGATTTTCTAGACATTCAAAGCGATTTTATAATTATAATTATTCTAACTATTTTAATTATTATTATTATTATTATGACTGGTATTATAATAGCTGCTTCCTATTTTATTACATTTGGAAATGCAATTAATTCCTGCGATGGCAAAACTGAAAACTAAAGTAAATAGGAATCATATTATACGCTGATAATTTCTTCTTATCATCAGTATTGAAAACAGTAATTCATTTTTAAAGATAACTTTATGAATAAAAAGTTCAAAAGAACATTTATTTTGGAAGTTCAGAGCATAAAAAGCCAACAATTGTTAATAAAGATTGACAGGACTGCAATTTTTTATGCGATCACAGGAGGGCAGCATAAACCAAGGTACTAATCTAATCAAAAAACTTTTAAATACCTGTAATTGAAAATCAGAATCAAAAAGGCACCCTCTAAAATATAACAAACTACAAACAGCTACATAGCTTACTTTGGCTAGACGGGCCCGTTTGATAAGGTCATTCAGTTTGCGCAGTGCTGCATTACGTGGAAGTCCCTGGATGTCACGGAAAAGGTCTTGTTCCTCTGCCTCAAACAATTTCCTGTTATCTGCAACCAGGAGCGGCTGAGCCCAGAAAGAGCCAATATACACACGTATGACCTCTGGAGTGTTGACAATTTTCCCAAGTGACCACATGAGGGCGCCATACACCCTCATAAGCTGCTGGGTCCCGATCTGATCAGCTTTATTAAGCACCACCCGCATTTTGTCCTCATGGTTTTTCAGAGCTCGGATCACCTCGGAGAACTCATCCGAGATGTCCAACTTGTGTGCGTCAAAGAGAAGAATGATTCGGTCCACCCGTTCGGCAAACCATTCAAGCACCGCAGCAAAATCATAACCTGAAAAAGAGGAGAAAAAAGGATTTTTAAACAAGACAGGTTTAACTACACTAAACTAAAGTTTTCTCAACCTTATAAACAGTTGTTCACTTTAACTGATGGAGAGGGAACTTGTTTCTGCATGTGAGCCTCATTAATAAAGCACAACCCAATACTTCTCTTTTCACCCAAATAAAGGTCAGTACATCAGGCAGCAGATATTTAACCCTAGAACTTCCTGATCTTGCCCACATCTATCCACAAAACTGACACAAACAAGCACAAATACACAAACAAAAATATACACACAACAGAACAAGTCATTTTGCGTGACCCTATTGGCTAAAGAGGGTGGAGTACAACTCTTTAGCATGAGTGAGGGAAAGAAAAAATCTGATGAAGAGGCCGAACTGACATCACGTCCACTCATGCTGACAAACAGGAAAGAGAATAAACTGTCCTGCAGACACTCCTTCCTCTCCCATGTTAGGTTATTTTCATGCATAATGGTTAAAGGGATCACAGGGAACAATGGAAATCTGTGAAAGAAATGTTTTGACAGCAGCCAAGGAGACGTCAATAATAAATTTAAGATGCTGGGATATGAAATGAATGTGTGGTAATGAAAAAAATCTGTGTGCACCATAAAATATTCTGGGGGGTTTTTTCGTAAGCATTTTGATGTCTTCACAAAGCAAAAAAGCACAAGCTGCATGCACATTTATTACAAAGGCCAGCTGAAATATTGCTAGACTCCTAAAGCTACTTATGAGATGGTGAGGGCAAAGGTTTCATCTTCAGAGATTTCTTTGTATGCAATAGCACACATGCTAATGCCAGGATTTCCTGCCCAACTCTCTTGCTTGCTGAGACAGAAGTTACCAATTTGTGTTTGGATTGTGTAGCGAGTGTGTGGAAGACAGGAAGGACTGCGTCCCAGCTCGCAGCAGTTGTGTCAACGTCAGCAGGATGTGAAATCTGGACTTGAATCCATCCAACATGGGCGTGACTTCACAGTTTCAGTGCTCTCCTTATTCTACTGCAGTCCATCACTATATCAATGAAGCAAACCATTACAATATATAATGCAGTAAATATTGCATTGAATATAATTCTTCATATTTTCATTAATCGTTTAACGTCAAAACTAAATCGAATGTAATATGGTGAAAAAAAGTATTATTATAAAAACCCAAGGAATCAATTTAATGTTTTCTTCTAAATTTTGAAATCAAATCAAAACCATTAAAAGTGCAGTGTAAGTTTGACATCTGATGAAATGGGTATTAAATTCCTGGATCAATAATAGGCACACACTAGAGGGAATATTTTCCATATTAAAAGCAGTTTTTGAGCCAACCAACACTTCGAATTGATGTATTAGAAAATTATAAAATTCTATTTCTTGCAGGTGAACAACAGAAAACTGACAATGATCACCTCATGTGCACCTCATGTGCTTTATTCAGTGTTAAATGCTACCAATGTGACTTTGTGTGACTGTATTTAAATTTCTGTCATGTTTTGTTTGGTGCAACCACCCGAACTGCTTATCACTGCAAATCTCATCACGTAGCGTGTTATAAGGACACACGATTGCAATGTAACCTACTCACCTAATGTTTACGTTTGTAATACTTATATTAGTTGCCAACTAATAAATCACCTCATGTGGAACTTTAAATCTGCATCTCATTTTGGAGTCTGCTACTGTCTGCTGGAGGTCGCATTTCAGACGCATGCTTTGATAGCCTTTCTAAATGAATGAATTTAAGGCAGAATTATTTATTTTTACTGTTATTCTAAACTGTTTTTTATCTGTGTCTTTCTATGGTGTAAAGCGCTTTAAGAATTAAATTTTGATGCAAAGCTACCCGGGATGCTGAAATTTAATTGGCTTAACTGGAATTAGGCAGGTTAAAAAAACAAAACAAAGACAGCAAAAATAGAATATCTGACTTCAGCATTGTCTTTTAGATAAACAAGAACAGTCACTTAGCCTGTTTCTTAAATATCTTCAAACATATTATGATATTTTTATGCTTTAGAAGAGTCAAAAACTTACATACAGCACCTTAATTCTTTCTAAATAAGATTCATTTTTATTTAGCTGTAAATGGTAAAGTTGTCTCAGCTACATTAAGGGCAGACACTGAGAAGTTGATTTTGTGTATAGATACACATTAAGACGGTAAAGAATGTGACAGCTGAGACAGCTCATACTGAAAGTATTTTAAGGTTTTTCGCAAATGATATGGTTTTTCAAAAATTCTTTCTAATACTTTCCAAAAAACATATCCTTGTGTAGACCATGGGATATCCTTATTTATATAAGCATGTCATAGTAATAGTGTTTGTTCCTGCTCTAAAATTGGTACATCCAATTGGTACATCCAAAAGTGGGCATACAAATACTGCATTTATTAAATAACTTGCAGTTATAAACATAAAATGAATTAAACAAATGCAAAGATGGATGAATGTCAATATGTAGAAAATACGGCTAAAAAATAATAGATCTAATTGAAAACAGGAAGACACACCGGTGGTCTACACAGGTGCTAGCTTTGTAAAGATTACTGTAAATACAAGGCAGGAACTTAAAGTTTACAACCAACACAAAGATCCCACCAGCCACTATAAATAGACATTTACACTGATGCTGTTCTTAAGGTTAGACAAAATGTCTGCAAAAAAAAAAAAAGGTTTAATTGCCTCAGCATGAAGAGCTGTGATTTAGAACAAAGGCTTAGCTTTATTGCCTCCACCCTGCTAAAATCTAATCCAGAAACTGACACAATCTATTTGCTTGAATAAAAAAACAAGACACACATTATGGCAAACTAAAGCATGTGTAAATGCAGCAAGCTCTTGATAAAGGTTCAACTCAACACAGTGGAATTTGTACCTCAAGACCCAAGAAGCAATATAAAGCGGGGAAAATAAGTTGAACAAGTCACCACACATTTTTCTCAGAAAACATATTTCTAAAGGTGCCGTTGAATTGAAATTTTACCCGGATGTTGGACAGAACCAAAGAAATCCATATATGCAAAGAAAACAAATCTAATTAGTTTATGAATTAAGTTTTGCGTAATAATATTTAATGACTCAAAGAAAAAAAGTATTGAACAACACACAAGAAAGGGAGGTGTAAAAAGGCAGTAAAAGCCCAGACAGCAGCCGAAATCTCTCAGTAGTTCTTCAGCAACCCTCTTTCCTTCTTCATTGTAAATTAATATTAGATGCTTCAGTCCAACATCTACATTAGCAGGATAACTGCCAAGGAAACTCTGTAATGCTTTCGGAGAAAGAAATTTAAGCTGTAGAATGGCCCAGCCAATCACCTGACTTGAATCGAATAAAAAATACAAATTAAACATCAGATTTGGTAGACGAAACCCACAGAACCATAAAAATTTGTACACACAAAAAAGATAAATAAATAAAGAAAAATTATTTTTAAAAAATAAATAAATAATAAATAAATTAAATCACACCTGAGCAATTCATGTGACCTGCCATCCCCAAAAAAGCCTTTTATATGAAGTATTAAACACATATCAGTAGTACAGTATTTTATCCTTGTTTCATTTCATTGTTATTAAACTATTTATTTTGCTTTGTTTTATTTTTATATTTGTATTGTTTGGGTTTTTACCAAAATCTGGTTCAATTCCATGTCAACAGCTCCTTTAGAGATATTATTCCCAGGAAAAAAACATGATGTGTTCAGTACTTATATACCCTGCTGTATAATCTAAAGAAGGTCTCACACTAGAGGCGCCACTCGGCAACACGCAGTGCCAAGCATTTTAGAATTCTAAACATAGGTTTCTATCAAGGTACACACACCCGCGTCGCAAGTTGGCGACTGTCCGCGGTGCCCATCCACGACCCAGGACACAGTTTATATTTCTGTCGCGCCACAAAGCTCCAACTGAATAGTTTCATTCTAAATATCATGCGAATGTGCTTGTCTGCGTGATACTTTCAACTGTTGTACGCGACGTGTCGCTGCGCCGAGCAGCGCATCCGGTGTGTGACCTGCTTAATGCCAATTAATACATAGAGGTTTTAGTTCTCATAGGAACAGAAATTCTTGTCCTGCAGCATCTCTTCAAAAAGGCTTTCTCATAACATATGAATTATGCAGCAGCCATTTCAGTTGTGGATGTTGCTTAGCAATGATTGGCTGTGTAGCTTATTCAGACAAGATTAATTGCGACAAACTATGATTATAATTATGATTATGATTGCATTGCTTATGTCAGCCAATTTAACATTTAAATGAAATTGTGCAATTTGGAGCTTCAGCATGGATATTTCCTATATATTAAATATAACTATTAATAGTAATGGGGTGACACAGTGGCTCAGTGGTTAGCACTTTCACCTCATAGCAAGAAGGTCACTGGTTCGAGCCCCGGCTGAGTCAGTTGGCATTTCTGCATGTTCTCCCCATGTTCACGTGGCTCTGGTTTCCCCCACAAGTCTAAAGGCATGCACTATAGGTGAACTGAATAAACTAAATTGGCCATAATGTGTGTGTGAATGAGAGTATGAACGTTTCCCAGTACTGGGTTGCAGCTGAAAGGGCATCCTCAGTGTAAAACATATAAGTTGGTGGTTCATTCCGCTGTGGCAACCCCTGATGAACAAAAGGACTAAGCTGAAGGAAAATGAATGAATGAATTAATAGTAATGAAAGAAAATAGAAAATAGCCTTCAAAAGTCTCTCATTGCTGGACTGGTTATACATACAGAATGTAGAGTTGATTGGAAAACTGCACGAGTGGTGCCATCATTTCAGTTAACTATTAACCAGACACTTCTCTTTGAGATAACTTTTTCTTCCACAACCCTAATCCAGTAGATATGATGACCTGCATTTGATGGATGAAAGTTCATTAATCTCTCCATGTTAACATGACTTCCTATTCTGCCTGAACTAAACTGTTCATTTCATAGTAATAAACTATTCTTTTATGTACAAGCAGCATAACTGTGAGGGTTACGGG